TTGTGGATGATTAATCATGATCGTCTTGTAGTAACTTTAGACAGATACAAGAGTAAATTGTATAAAAAAAACTTTTGTTTGTAGTTTGAATTGTCGATACCTTACATTCCATGCAATATTTTATTTTCTATGCTTTGAACATTTCATTTTTGAGTTAAATTTATTAACATTTATATGATGACAAGCAGATGTTCCTTACTCTAAATTTCTGAATATTTAGATAATAATATAATATGAATAGAAGATTTCGATGTGGTCGTTTGATTTCAACAGGAAATGGTGTTATTAAAAAAGTCGAACTTGAAGATGGTGGTGGTACTCGTTTTTGTAACTGGGATCCAATCAATATGGATTTTGAAGATATTCATCATCGTCTACTTGATATTTTTCGTTTAGGTGAAATGAAAAAGATTTGAATACTTTAATATTTTAAGTTTTTTTTCTTTTTGTTGATATTAAAGACGAAAATAAATATAAAACATCATTATATGATTTTCAACGTCAACCATTAGATATTAATCAATATCACACATTTTTGGAATATTTTAATAAAAATGGTCTTAACTGTAATAGTACAGTCATATATATTTGTACTGATCAAGGTTAATTCAATTGAATTCTCATTAAATTTTCATATTAATATCTTTTTCTTTTAGCTGATAATGATGATGATGATAATAATTCAACGATGATGTTAACAAAAAAGCGAAAAACATCTGCTATTACAACATCATCACAATCAAATCCATTAAATTCAAAACAAAAGTAATAGAAATCTTGAATAATATATTTTTTGAATTTGTTTATTTTATTAGAATATCTATAGCATCAGAAACTACATCTACAATAACATCAGTTGAAATGAAACATGTTGATAAATATGCAGAAGAATCTAATCAAGAACAAACTTCTCGGTAAGGTAGTTTTTCTTTTTCCTTTTTGTATATTGAATTGAAAGAGACATTTTTTCTAGATCTTCATCGGGTAATTAATTAATTAATAATTATCAATTTGTTTAATAAAATTGTTTTATATTTAGTATATTCATTTGAAAATTCAAATAATGATTTAGTCAATAATATTCATATTCTTATTAGTCAAAATAGTTTTGATGAAATTTTGATTCAATTATTTGAATATATTTGTGTAATTCATGGTTATGTTCGTTCAATTATTCATCCATTACAACAACAAATACAAAACTTGAATGAATATTTTAAATTAATTGATCAATCTGAAATGAAATTATATTCACATTGTTTAAATAATGTTTCAAATATTTGTCAATCAATAGAAACATTAATTAAATTAAATAAGAAAAAATTTGATCATATTGAACAATTTCCAATCATTGTTAATTCATTTTCTCAATTTTATGAAAATTTAAAAGTATTTACACGTTTTAAAAAATACAAAAATAATATATACCTTACTAAACTGTTATGAAGTCATTGTTCATTCGTGAAAACTACTAGAGAATATTGAAAAAAATAAAGCTGAGCATTTCGTACTATGTACAACAAAAGCCAGACAACACAGAATTCATTGATTCATGAATTCCATGAAATTTTCCAGGTGCCTTAGATCTTCTCAACTTTCAGCTAGTCTTTTCAACCACTGACATTGATTAGATTTTTTCTGAGGAATTTCCTCGAAAACTGAATTAAGTCTTAATATTGAAGATGTAAAGATCTATATCTCCAGCATAGATGTATTGATATGTTCATAACTGATACAAATGATGCTGGAAATATGATAGACATACAACGTAGGCCAATGCTTTGTGTTCGTATTGACGTTGCATCCTCAGTTAGTGCGATACCCTTGTATGTGTATTGTCATAACAGAAAAAGTAAGAGAGAATAAATTCAAGTATATAAATAGGGGACAATATACAAACGGATGTATGAGATTTTGTTTCGTCAATAAGTTGTTTATGTCAGGCAAAATTATTCAACCATCTGAACAATGTAGTTAATCACTTAAATACTGATCTGATATTTCTATTATGTCTGAGATATGGAATATCTTTTGTGTTTATATAATCCCTTACATAGATTATATACATATCACTATATATACTTGAGAGTCTATTGGAGATATAGAGATATAAGATTGTTTCATCAATATCTCCTATACTAGGATTTCATTGCGTTTCTGAGGAAATTCATAGAAGATATCATATATTGAAATTTTGTTCTTTTTTGTCGTGATCCAAAGAGTATTTTTTCTAAGATGATTGATCTTCTGTATTATATAATCGCTTGTGCTGATAAAAAAGAAATAAGTAATATATTTCATGTCGTAGAAATCTTATAATGTCAAAGACAATACTTGCAAAACCAAAAATCTTATTAATCATCAATGTGTTATTGTCGATTGGTACGATTTAAGAATCAGTACTAATTGATAGAAAGAATTATAAATTGTTGTCATTTGACATAGTACCCTCGTAATCATATATTATGAAAGAGTACAAAATTTTAATTCTAATACATTATTTCTCACTCGTTTTCAATGGATTTATATATACACGAAAAATAGTCAACTATTTTATTGAAGAATTTTCGACGTATCTCTTGTTTCTAGTCATTTTTTTTTCTTTAGATTCTATACAATCAATGGTTTGAGTATGTCGAAAAAAACAACAATAGATCTAATACACCTTCATCTTCAGTCAATCATCCCATTGAATCAATATCATCAACATTTTTACATTCGAATATACAAGTCTCATCTGAAGATCGTGTCGAGACAAATGTAGAAAATTCTGAGAAACGATTACAAACATCATCATCATCAGCTCAAGAACCATCAGATGGTGAAACTAATAAAAAATTCAGTTTATTTCGACAAGTTAGTCAATCTGAATTTAACATTAATCTTGCGTTCTTTTTTTTTCTGTTTTATTCAGTTATTCGGTCGCTTGAATACATTATTATTTTCACTTAGTAAGCAAGATTTACCATCATATACTGAAATGGTTGAATTAACAATCTCCGAACTAAAATCTTTACGATTAAATATAGATTTATTTAATTATCATTCAATACTTAATGCTAAAAGTCAGATTTTATTAATAAGAAATAAATTTTCCGAAAAATTTAGTGACTATTTTTCGAAACAATCTAAATATACAATTAGTCAACAAATTACAACATCATATGATTCTACAATGAAAGCAATGCAATATTTATTAACATCACTTAATCGTTATCAATTACCAGCAGATAAAAATAACAAAAACGAAGAATCATATCAGTCGTCAACTTCTTCATCAAAAAACAGTCGAAAACAATATAGACATAATAACTCAATGAAATTCACTAAAGGAAAATCAAGAAAGTTTCCTATTCATAAGAATGATAAAAGATTAACTGCATCATATTCGTCGACTGAACATCGGACTTTCTCAAAAAATGATCGAAAATCATATAGATCACAATAAATTCATATATTGTTTTATTTCTGTTCCATTGAAACACTGTGTTCCGTTTTCTTTTATGTAAAAAGTGAAAATAAAGATCAAGATGATGATAGAACATTTTGTTTTTCAAATATTTCGATCTTTTTTTTTATATAGTATCTATTGCAAAGGCACTTTGGCATATTCAGACTGTTTCACTCTTACAACGTGTGTTAGTGCTGGATACTTAAGGGATTTTCTACCCATTTCCGGCACTCTTAGAGAGTGGCTTCTCAAAAAATCTTAAAAGTTTTAAGGTACATCGATCTCGATGAGTAGAGCATAAGTCGCCATAGACTCCAAACTCCCGGACGCTTGTCTGTACGATATATTGGAGTCGGAAGAGTGAGAATAACTCCAATTTATCAATCGCAATTGAAGCCCGTCGGTAGTATATTGGTTTTCTAAAAATCCGGTTTTCCAGACTAACAAACTTTTCGCCAAAAATGTGTTTATCTGCCTTGATTATAGAGTTTATTGGATTGCCTAGAAAAACAGTAACTTTTTCTATTTCAAATCGATTCAGTTTTTTTTTGAACAACTCTAAACAAAAATAACTCAGTTTAAAAAATCGTCTAAAGAAAATTGTATTCACTCGTTCTAGATGCTGACTTTGGGAACTTGATAATAGCTTTTATTTTCTTATATTTCTTTTGGCTTGTTGAATAATTTTATTACCTACTATATATACACAATACTGAATACAATTCTTTAGACGATTTTTTAAACTGAGTTATTTTTGTTTAGAGTTGTTCAAAAAAAAAACTAAATCGATTTGAAATAGAAAAAGTTACTGTTTTTCTAGGCAATCCAATAAACTCTATAATCAAGGCAGATAAACACATTTTTGGCGAAAAGTTTGTTAGTCTGGAAAACCGGATTTTTAGAAAACCAATATACTACCGACGGGCTTCAATTGCGATTGATAAATTGGAGTTATTCTCACTCTGCCGACTCCAATATATCGTACAGACAAGCGTCCGGGAGTTTGGAGTCTATGGCGACTTATGCTCTGCTCATCGAGATCGATGTACCTTAAAACTTTTAAGATTTTTTGAGAAGCCACTCTCTAAGAGTGCCGGAAATGGGTAGAAAATCCCTTAAGTATCCAGCACTAACACACGTTGTAAGAGTGAAACAGTCTGAATATGCCAAAGTGCCTTTGCAATAGATACTATATAAAAAAAAAGATCGAAATATTTGAAAAACAAAATGTTCTATCATCATCTTGATCTTTATTTTCACTTTTTACATAAAAGAAAACGGAACACAGTGTTTCAATGGAACAGAAATAAAACAATATATGAATTTATTGTGATCTATATGATTTTCGATCATTTTTTGAGAAAGTCCGATGTTCAGTCGACGAATATGATGCAGTTAATCTTTTATCATTCTTATGAATAGGAAACTTTCTTGATTTTCCTTTAGTGAATTTCATTGAGTTATTATGTCTATATTGTTTTCGACTGTTTTTTGATGAAGAAGTTGACGACTGATATGATTCTTCGTTTTTGTTATTTTTATCTGCTGGTAATTGATAACGATTAAGTGATGTTAATAAATATTGCATTGCTTTCATTGTAGAATCATATGATGTTGTAATTTGTTGGCTAATTGTATATTTAGATTGTTTCGAAAAATAGTCACTAAATTTTTCGGAAAATTTATTTATTATTAATAAAATCTGATTTTTAGCATTAAGTGTTGAATGATAATTAAATAAATCTATATTTAATCGTAAAGATTTTAGTTCGGAGATTGTTAATTCAACCATTTCAGTATATGATGGTAAATCTTGCTTACTAAGTGAAAATAATAATGTATTCAAGCGACCGAATAACTGAATAAAACAGAAAAAAAAAGAACGCAAGATTAATGTTAAATTCAGATTGACTAACTTGTCGAAATAAACTGAATTTTTTATTAGTTTCACCATCTGATGGTTCTTGAGCTGATGATGATGATGTTTGTAATCGTTTCTCAGAATTTTCTACATTTGTCTCGACACGATCTTCAGATGAGACTTGTATATTCGAATGTAAAAATGTTGATGATATTGATTCAATGGGATGATTGACTGAAGATGAAGGTGTATTAGATCTATTGTTGTTTTTTTCGACATACTCAAACCATTGATTGTATAGAATCTAAAGAAAAAAAAATGACTAGAAACAAGAGATACGTCGAAAATTCTTCAATAAAATAGTTGACTATTTTTCGTGTATATATAAATCCATTGAAAACGAGTGAGAAATAATGTATTAGAATTAAAATTTTGTACTCTTTCATAATATATGATTACGAGGGTACTATGTCAAATGACAACAATTTATAATTCTTTCTATCAATTAGTACTGATTCTTAAATCGTACCAATCGACAATAACACATTGATGATTAATAAGATTTTTGGTTTTGCAAGTATTGTCTTTGACATTATAAGATTTCTACGACATGAAATATATTACTTATTTCTTTTTTATCAGCACAAGCGATTATATAATACAGAAGATCAATCATCTTAGAAAAAATACTCTTTGGATCACGACAAAAAAGAACAAAATTTCAATATATGATATCTTCTATGAATTTCCTCAGAAACGCAATGAAATCCTAGTATAGGAGATATTGATGAAACAATCTTATATCTCTATATCTCCAATAGACTCTCAAGTATATATAGTGATATGTATATAATCTATGTAAGGGATTATATAAACACAAAAGATATTCCATATCTCAGACATAATAGAAATATCAGATCAGTATTTAAGTGATTAACTACATTGTTCAGATGGTTGAATAATTTTGCCTGACATAAACAACTTATTGACGAAACAAAATCTCATACATCCGTTTGTATATTGTCCCCTATTTATATACTTGAATTTATTCTCTCTTACTTTTTCTGTTATGACAATACACATACAAGGGTATCGCACTAACTGAGGATGCAACGTCAATACGAACACAAAGCATTGGCCTACGTTGTATGTCTATCATATTTCCAGCATCATTTGTATCAGTTATGAACATATCAATACATCTATGCTGGAGATATAGATCTTTACATCTTCAATATTAAGACTTAATTCAGTTTTCGAGGAAATTCCTCAGAAAAAATCTAATCAATGTCAGTGGTTGAAAAGACTAGCTGAAAGTTGAGAAGATCTAAGGCACCTGGAAAATTTCATGGAATTCATGAATCAATGAATTCTGTGTTGTCTGGCTTTTGTTGTACATAGTACGAAATGCTCAGCTTTATTTTTTTCAATATTCTCTAGTAGTTTTCACGAATGAACAATGACTTCATAACAGTTTAGTAAGGTATATATTATTTTTGTATTTTTTAAAACGTGTAAATACTTTTAAATTTTCATAAAATTGAGAAAATGAATTAACAATGATTGGAAATTGTTCAATATGATCAAATTTTTTCTTATTTAATTTAATTAATGTTTCTATTGATTGACAAATATTTGAAACATTATTTAAACAATGTGAATATAATTTCATTTCAGATTGATCAATTAATTTAAAATATTCATTCAAGTTTTGTATTTGTTGTTGTAATGGATGAATAATTGAACGAACATAACCATGAATTACACAAATATATTCAAATAATTGAATCAAAATTTCATCAAAACTATTTTGACTAATAAGAATATGAATATTATTGACTAAATCATTATTTGAATTTTCAAATGAATATACTAAATATAAAACAATTTTATTAAACAAATTGATAATTATTAATTAATTAATTACCCGATGAAGATCTAGAAAAAATGTCTCTTTCAATTCAATATACAAAAAGGAAAAAGAAAAACTACCTTACCGAGAAGTTTGTTCTTGATTAGATTCTTCTGCATATTTATCAACATGTTTCATTTCAACTGATGTTATTGTAGATGTAGTTTCTGATGCTATAGATATTCTAATAAAATAAACAAATTCAAAAAATATATTATTCAAGATTTCTATTACTTTTGTTTTGAATTTAATGGATTTGATTGTGATGATGTTGTAATAGCAGATGTTTTTCGCTTTTTTGTTAACATCATCGTTGAATTATTATCATCATCATCATTATCAGCTAAAAGAAAAAGATATTAATATGAAAATTTAATGAGAATTCAATTGAATTAACCTTGATCAGTACAAATATATATGACTGTACTATTACAGTTAAGACCATTTTTATTAAAATATTCCAAAAATGTGTGATATTGATTAATATCTAATGGTTGACGTTGAAAATCATATAATGATGTTTTATATTTATTTTCGTCTTTAATATCAACAAAAAGAAAAAAAACTTAAAATATTAAAGTATTCAAATCTTTTTCATTTCACCTAAACGAAAAATATCAAGTAGACGATGATGAATATCTTCAAAATCCATATTGATTGGATCCCAGTTACAAAAACGAGTACCACCACCATCTTCAAGTTCGACTTTTTTAATAACACCATTTCCTGTTGAAATCAAACGACCACATCGAAATCTTCTATTCATATTATATTATTATCTAAATATTCAGAAATTTAGAGTAAGGAACATCTGCTTGTCATCATATAAATGTTAATAAATTTAACTCAAAAATGAAATGTTCAAAGCATAGAAAATAAAATATTGCATGGAATGTAAGGTATCGACAATTCAAACTACAAACAAAAGTTTTTTTTATACAATTTACTCTTGTATCTGTCTAAAGTTACTACAAGACGATCATGATTAATCATCCACAATGAATGAAAAACTACAATTCGTCGAAATGTAAACCAATCAGAAGATAACTAATAAAACAACATCATTATGAAGGACGAATCTATGGACACGATACATTTAGTATGTACACTAAGCCGAAAAAAGTCATCAAAATCGAGTTTTTACAGCCTCAAATTGATTGAATAAATTTCTACCAGAAATTCAAGCTAATTTTTTTAGTTCGGAATCTCGCTG